TCTAAAGCCACAAATTGCCTGGGATCACATCTGTATCAGTCACAACTCCGGGTTTTAGCTTCAGTCCCTGTTCTGGCTGGAGTAGGCAGAAAAGGGATTTATTAAAGAGCATTGCAACTTTGGGGAGCAGTGGAAAATTCCAGGAATGATGCCTCAAACCACACTGAACCTGGTGAGGAAACCACGCTGGCCTTGTGAGAAAACCACACTGGCCTGGTGAGAAAATCACTGAAGCGTCTGAGACAGCTAACTTGCTTTCCAAGCCAGAGCTTGACTGCTCTGCCTGTTGGTGTTGATGCCACTCCTGTTCCTGGAGCTGTACCTGGCAACCTCCATTGAGCTACCTGCACTTGCTCAATGGGACCTCCAAAGAACCAATGCATCTGCTTCTTCCAACACTGCATTCTGAAATGAGTCTCGGGGGGTCAGGACTTGTTGGCAGAACTTAGGTCACATGCCCATTTCTGAGCCGATTGAAGAAAATTCGGAACCTTTTTTTCTGCTGAGATCAAAATCAAAGACCTGATTTCCTGTGCTAGGAATCTCATCCTCCCCAACGAGTGATGCATGCCTCCATCAATATGGGTCATTGGGAAAACGGAACTCAGCCGAAAGCACAACTCTCATCATTGAAGCAGAACCCTGGGACGGTTGACCAGAATCAAAGTCTCAGTGATGGTACGACAACATTTATTAATCGAGGTGAAGACTCAGACTTGAGTCTGACAGAATTGGTTCTGTGAGAGCTGCTTAGACCGAAACAGCTTTAAGTTCAGTTTAAATACCTTGTGCACAGTAGCCTACAGGGAAAAGAAGAGATCTGGGCTCTCCCTGGTGGCGCAATGGTTTAAAGCACCACTTATGAAGCTCTCCGAAGCCACTGCAGTGCAAGCTCAATATCCAGCCAGGGAGCCCACACACCCACCCACCCCCACCCCCCCACCCCCCCCACACACACGGCACAGCGTGGCAGACCTCTCCTGACCTGGCCGCTGCTCCCCTCAGCAGTGTACTTCCTCGATCTGCCTGTTCTGCTCCCCACTCTGTCTCTGGTGAATCCTCTCACCCACAACACCTCTGGCCTGTACTCCAGTTCTGTAAACATAAATAAATCTTTTTAAAAATACTTAAAACAAAAAAGATCTTTTGATTTCCTAAATTATCTTGACCCAAAGAAATGTTGATGTTACCATGTGTAGAGGAGGGCAAAGCCTGGGCTTCCATAATTTTCTGACTCCTAAAAAGTACACTGTGAGGGCCCCAAGGCTAGGTCTCCCCTATTAAAATCTTCTCTAGCTGGCTCCTTGGTCCTCAGGGGAGGCTGGAGGCGTTTACCCACAGGGAGTCCTGCTGCTATTCAGACAGGACAGAGCCTCTGTGGACCCTGCAGGTGGCTTTGTTCTCTTACCTGTTAGAGGTGGCAGTGATGGTGGGGGCCACACATTCACAGGCTCAACTGGGCAAATCGTGGTGTAAACTGAATAGAAAATCCAGAGAAACGTAGGTTCACTTACAGAACGAGACTAGAGTGGAGCAGCCTAGATGTAAATGCCAAGACTGAGTCAGCGCTTCTCACTGGAAGGTCCCCAAAGTGCTCAGGCGGGACTCCTGCTCTGAGTAGGTAGCTTCTAACAACGACACCTGATGGGGTGTATTTAGTTGTTTCTGTCCTGGTGAGACCTGCAGGTAGGGTTGGCATTTGGGGGACATGACATCATCTAGGGAAGAAATGGGTCCTTGCACAAGTGGCCAGGCCTGTGAAGTTGGTCTGGCAGAGAAGGAAATCCCAGTCTCTAGACCTTGCTTTCCAAGTCTAGTTCTGGAGAGTGGAGTCATCCTAGGGCACTTGAGAGCTGGCCAGAGGAACAGGGTGATGGGCTCCCCCATTCCACAGCAGGTGGGAGGCCAGGCTCATGTGCAAAGTGCAAAGGGCCCCAGATCATCCCATCGTCGGGCCTATCTGCCCTCCCTTGGGTTCCCTGAGTCTTAAGTGAAGTTGGATGTTCCAGTCTGGTATTAGCCAAGACAAGAGATATTGTGACATTAGTGGTATGGCTGGAGGCCATAGAAGAGGTTGTCTGTGTCCTCTGCCTGGAGCCAGGGAGATGGTGTCGACAGTAAAGCAAAGTGCATATCCTAGGGACCCCTGGGGCCGCAGGGGCCATTTACTCCCTGTAATTACTGATTTCTGCAAATCCAGATGACATAATGGTGGATTCCCTTTCGAGTCCACAATCACCGTGTTCTGAATGAACAGAACACTGTTGAAAAAGAAAGGCAGTACTTCTAGGGACAGGCAACTCACCAGCATTGTCCTAAGAGGTACTCGGAGTGACCCAATGGGGGGCTGATGCCGAGTGATGGGGACCCTGGCAGTTGGTATCAGGAATATCAGGAAGTTGTATGAGGCAGTAACAGGGTCCAGCCATATAGAGACAAGGTGTAGGTGACTCCCATCTGCGGGGGAAGGGGGTATCCCCACAAACAAGGCTATCTCTGGGGGTACCACAAAGCAAATGAATAAAAATACAATCATTCTATCAAGGAATTTAAAACTACAGTCCTGAGATACCATCAACTCTGCTCCAGCCTCACACACTCTAGAGAGCAAGAGCAAAAGCCTAATCTCAGCCGGGAGTCAAAAACCACAGTGATTTGAGGCTCTGTCCTCAGGGTATTGGATGAGTTTTATTCCTGGAGTTAAAAGAAAGGAGCTTCTCAGTGTGAGGAGGTCAGAAATCTGAGTTACCACCAGCCCTGAAAGGCTGACAAAGAAAGTTAGAAGGTGAAAAATTAGGAGGGAAGGTAATGCTGCTTCCTAAGGTAAGTGTCAAATTCCACTTCAACAAACACTGAAAAACTGGCCAAAACCCTTTCTGTTGGCCTGGAATGTGTTTACTTAAGTAAATCTGTTTCACATAAGAGAACTTGCCCTTTTAAGAATAATCTGGGCCTCTCCCGTGGAACAATGGGTTAAGCAGCAGCATGAATAAGCTATGCAGCACGATGAAGCTGTCCACAGCAGCCACTGCAGCAGGAGTTTGGTCCCTAGCCAGGGAGCTGACCCAAAGGAACAGTGACCCTCCTGTCTTGCCCGCTGCTCCCCTCAGCAGTGTACTTCGTAGATCTGCCTGTTCTGCTCCCCACTCTGCTCTGGTGAGTGAGAATCCTCTCACCACCCCAGTTCTGTGTGCACAAATAAATAAATCTTAAAAAAACAACAACAACAACAACAACAAATGAGAACAATCTGTTGTCATTTTTATATCAACCACAAAAAACATTTGGGTGGTCAACCAAGGTATGGCTATGATTCTCACTAGTACTTAGTGAAACAATAGACGACTGATTGATTGTTAAAATTAGCTTTATTAATTATGAATATAGACAACATTTACAAAACATAAAGTGTGCTGTGCTGAAACTAAGAATTCTCTAGGGTTTGCTGGTAACCCTCTCCTCCCATTACGAATATTGACAATGGTTTCCTTCATATCTGTTGCCACAGGGCCATGAGGAATCACACATCTCATTTCCATCTTTAAGGAGACTCACAGACTCGCAGCCTTCTGAAATGGTTTAGGACTACAGCCCTTGTTATAACACTGTACTTAACATTCTTCACAAGTGTGTTTAGGTTAACGCTATCATCGTGTAGGCCAAATGATAACTCACTCCATAAAGTAACCACTGGGTATTCCAGTGAGTGCTCCAGAAGCTAAACAGCAGTGAAATTTCCTTTTAAAAGTGTCACATACTTTACAAAATAACCTTTTGGGGTATCAGAGCCACACTTCTGAACCCTTCTGTAACACAGCCCTCTGGAGTAAATAACAGACCTGTCCCTTTCGCCCATTCTGCAGATCCTCCTCATTGCCCAGTTCTTGGTTAAAGCAACAGATGAGACGAATCTAAAAAGTGAGCTTTTCTGACAGTGGATGGCAGGCAGCAATCTCACGAACGTCAATCTCTTGCCACTAGTCAAATGTGCAAACCAGCACAAGATGCAGACATTTCATCCTTATTAGAGACTCCTAAGACAAAGAGTTGGATCACTAAGGCAGTAAATTGAGATATTCATATTGCTGGAAAAATCTCAGGGGAGTTTGATACACACGTGGCTGAGAGACTTCAGGTTGATTTATATCAACCTAATATTTCAATCTCGGGCTAGAAATGAAGCCAGATGGGAAATCTTGTTTCCTTTAAGCCCAGTGATTTTTTTCTCACCTCCAAAAGGTCAGAAAATATACTCACACACTTTAAAAGGTCTACTCTTGAGTGGCTAAATCAGCTATTGTGATGGATTGGTTTCTACAGCTGATGCATTGTGAAGTTAGGCAGGAAAACTTAACATCCACGTTTTGATTTTTTTTTTTCTTTAATCAGGGCTCAAAGAGAAGGCCCTTATTTCAAAAAGAAGAATGCAGGAAATCCATTAGACTAATTTCCTGATCTTAACACTTCCACCCAGATAGTGTCCCAAAAGTCTTAGGACAGTTTTGATCTTTACTAACCTCAGGTGTAAATGCACCAAACTCATCAAAAAAAGCACACATCATATGGAGGTTTACTTGCCTAATTTTCATACCTCTTTATGGACTTTTGATAGTTTTTAGACTGTACTACTCCCATTGAATTACCTGTGTTTGAAGATAGCAAACAGCAACTAATTTGAAGTTCACAGAGCTTAAAAACTGCACTAGGACTTTTGGAATACCTGGTGGGATTCCCAATCTATGTTCTAACTCATTTTTTCTCTGCTACTGAAACTCTGAAATGGATCAAATTGTCTTCTCAGAAGTCAGTTCTCTTGCTGTATCCTCAGAGGATGTAGTGGCCGGCTGGGCCTCTCTGGGTCAGTTTCTCACACAGTGGGAGATGTGATTCGTTTCCTGAAAAGTTCAGAGGCAAAGTCTTGTGTTACAGCAATAAATCTTGATGTGTGGTGTCAATCCAGATGAATATAACTTGGGGCAGTCCTGTGACAGAGAATATAGAAACGGTCATATTTTAATAAATTTCCACACATTCATCCAATTGAAAAATCCTGCCTTGACTTCAGGTGTTTTTTCCCCTTCTCTCTGATCAATATCACTTGGGTTTTTATCTATGACTTCTTTTGATTTTATGAGGGTCTCATATATTTCCTGAGCTCTGACAATTTCTTTTTGTGCATTAAAATGGACTTTCTGCCTAGTCAGGAGAGGAACAATTAAATTGAAATCATTAATTCGCTTATTTAGTTTTCTGATGTCTTCTTGAAACTGCTCACAAATTTGGCTCCACTTCTTCTGTTCAGTTGGTGTCATTGGGTTCCCAAGTCTTTTCCTTGACGCTAAAATTGCCTCTCTGAGTTGCTCAATAGTATCCTTTATTTCCTTCTGCATTAAGATCCATTCTGGCTGGTATCCATTATCTATCAAAATTCTGTTCAGGTTGTGAGTCATGGGGTCAATGTATGAACAGCCAGAGAACTTTTTTAGAGGTTTTCCTTTCCCACTGAGATTATCAAAGTCTCCTTTTGCCATTGATTCCTGAATGAGATCCTCTACTAAACGCTCTATTGCTTGAGTTATTTTTTGTTCTTTACTCTGTCTTACATCTTTAACAGTTAAACTATCAGCAAAATACTGTCTTTGTAGTTTCTGCTTTTGATATTCCATCACCTGTTCAGTTGCACGGTCTGCTCTAAATTGCCTATATTGCTTCTCTCGTTGACTTGGCGTTCCAAAACCAACACCCTCAAAACTTAAGTAATGCCGGTGTTGGGGTGTTTTATATTTGAATTGATCCTCTTCTTCTGCTTCTTCTACTTTATTCTTTCTGGCACTTGTTTTTTCTGTCACATGAGAAAGCACCTTCCTATAAGCTTCTTCAATCTTTATAAATGTTGCAGAATCAGCAGTACCAGAGCCACCATCTGGATGATACTGCTTGGCAAGCTTCCGGAAAGATTCCCTGACATCATCTGCAGAGCAGCCTTCTTCCAGATTCAGCAGCTTATAGTATTCTCTGATCTTCTTTTTGGATTTATGAGTGGATATCATTCTATTTCTAATACCACCAAAGTATGGAAACATTTTCAGTCGATGAGGAATCAGTGAAGCATTTATCAGATGAGATCTTAAGATCTGAGCCATCATAACATACATTGAGTTCATTCTTGTGCACAGAGTCTTCCCTAATAGTGATCTAGAAAATAACAATAAATACAAGGTGAACAAAACTGCCATATCAGTTAATTTAATATTTTCAGCAGCAAGAAAGAAATTACAAGTAAAGTAACGGACAATGTTTTCCAATGTTCCTTCCAGGATTCTTATGCTATATTTCACTTACGTTAACAGAGAAATGGAAGTTGATGATGTTTAGTATTAACATATTGTTATATAATCTGAATTCTACTCCTCACTAACCACAGAATTTTCGAGTCAGCAAGTTCTCAGAGCTTATCCAATCTTCTCATTTTATGTCAAAATGTAGGCCCACAAGATAGTTTACAAGGTTAACTGTGGAAGGGATAGCAAAATGGTTAGGTATAGGGCACAAGGAGACGCTTGTTTAACTGTCTGCATCCCCAACACCACTATTTCTTTCATTAGTATCATGGTCTTCGTCGCCTCCAGGAGTCTTCTCATCCTAAGACTTATATGAAACGATGGAAGACATGACTTATATGACAATAGGTTGAACCGAACAACTATCCCAACGGCTTTATAATATACAGCTTGTTGGGAAGGAGCTATTTGCTACCTGCTGGGATAAGCAAGATGAAAATGAGCCCTCCAGAATGTTTGCTGTTTTTCAATAACGCATTGTCCAGTTGAGACGAAACACCTGACCATCGATAAGGGCACTGAAATGCTGCTGGAAGTGGTGACGTGTGAAAAATGAACGTGAACTCCCGGGGACCCCAATTTTCTGGACAACAGGGGTCAATAGCTTTTAGAGTGAGTTGGGACGCGGGTGGATAAGCCCACCGCAGCAGGCATGTGGGAGGGGAGGGGTCAGCCTCGCCTCCGAATGCCCCGCCCCGCCCCCTACTCACCTTCCCAGACTCGGGGAAGGGGCTCGCTGGCTCCCGCCCCCATGCTGCGCCTCTGCGCATGCGTACACTGTTCGTCCTTCACTCCCTAGGCGCCCGCCGGGTTAGACCATCTGCCATTTTCCACTCAGAAGACCTGCGGAGGTCGTGTCGAACCCAATCGGGAAAGGTGCCCTACCTTCCCAGGAAAGTCAAGAAGCTCTCTTAAAGCGAGCTCTACCGAGAGGACAGAGGCGGGAGGCTTCGGGAGGCTCCCTCCTGCCCCCGGGGAGATAGGCTCCGCCTTCGCCCCCACCTCGAGCGGAAGGTGGTTTGGTCGATTGGCATTATGGGAGATGTAGTTCGCGGGGGGAGAGCGGTGCGCGCCTGCGCGTGCGAAGGCCACGAGGCGGTGCGGACGGCGCTGCGGCGTGGAGGCAGGTGTGCGCAGCTTAAAGTGTGCGGAGTGCGACTTGTGACCTTTGCAGTCTTAGTGACTTGGAGGGCGACGGCCAGCCGTAGCTTGTTTTGGGGGGTAGGGAAAGACGAACCCTCTCTCCCAACAGGACCTGGACAATCTCTTCTGGTGTTGTCTGGGGGACTCCTGCGCAGACGTGACCCCTCTCGCTAACCCGGCTGGAAGGAAACCTGGTGGTTCACTACGTCGAGCAAATACTTAGCAGCTCCAATGCCAGGCGTTGGGAGGGGGTGAGGGTAGTCGGGGACACGATCAAAATGGGGACCCCTAGGCTTTAAGTTCAGGCATGGGGCTGCATTATTTCCCCGTCCTTTACAATTAAAAAATGTGTTTATTTAAAAAAATAAAATAAAAAGGGGCCCTCCCTGGTGGTGCAGCCTATTACCGCGCAGCCTCTGCAGCACGAGTTCTATCCCGACCAGGGAGCTGACCACGTGGCGCGGCAGACCTCTCCCGACCCGCCTGCTGCTCAGGCGGTGTATCCATCTTTCTGCCTGTTCTGCTCCCCACTCAGTCTCCGGTGAAGACTTTCATCCTCTGCACCTCTGACCTGTACCTCAGCTCTGTATGAATAAATAATCTTTTTTTTTATATAAATAAATCTTAAAAAAAAATGCTAAGCGAGTACTTAGCATATAAACCTTTTTTTTTTTTTGGCCAGGTGTTGTGGTAACTACTTTATATCCTTAGTCATTCCAATGCCCCATGAGAGAAGTGCTGCTGTTTCCCGTTTTTGCATATGATGAAACAGTTTCATCAAAATAATTACGCAATGTATGTTAACCACTTGGCACAGTGCCTAGCACGTTGAGCGTTGTTTTTTTTTTTTCTACGACTATATCTTATAAAAAAACAAAACAGAAATAGGTACTAGTGTGTCTAAGTTTCTGAGTTATAAGTTTGTTACTTTAAGTGTAACAGCACAGAAAAAGGTTTAAATTCTGCTTCAGATGGGATTTCCTTTGTGGAACCTACTTTGAGCCGAAGACACTCCTTGTCTCTAATGGCGGTGTTGAGACTTCTGGGTGAAATACAAGCAGGCTGACTCAGCGCCCAGCTTCTCATCGGCAGCCACAAAGAACGCGGTTCCGCTTCTTGATCCTGTCATTCGCCCCTACACTCTGACCCTGGTGCACCAAACCTCGGATAGCCACTTGGTTATGGATCCAGGTCATGTTTCATATTTCTGAATAAATGCCTCTGTACTAAGTTATAATCTGTTTATTTCAAAGTGGGCGTAAAGTTGAGTGTTTTAATTGAAGGTATATTGTACCGATGTCTGGGACATCAGGTTCAATGGGTCAGGCAGTGAACATTAAAGAACTGAAAGAGAATAGTGTATTACAGGTTTTAATTCTTCCAGTCAACATCATTTCCATAACATAATGGGGGGGTACATAAAGATGGTTTTTAAAATCTACATTTTACAAATTACTCATGACAAATCTCATTTTTGATGTTTGAGTCTTACAAGTGATCACTTTTTTTAAAAAAAACTTATTTTTTAATAAATGATGCAACAGGTTAGGATACAACACTGCAAGCTAGTGGCCACTGCTTCAGTGTGAGTTCGATCCCTGCCCCAGAGGTGACCCACATGTTGCAGCAGACCTCTTCTGTCTCACCCACTGCTCCCCTCAGCAGTGTACTTCCTCTGTCAGGCTGTTCTGCTCCCTCATCTGTCTCTGGTGAATCCTCTCACTACCTCTGTGCCTCTTGCCTGTACCCCAGTTCTGTATACATAAATAAATCAAGCTTTAAAGTACAAAGATTTATTTTATATATGCAGAGCTGGGTATAGACCAGAGGTGTGGGGGGTGAGAGGATTCACCAGAGACAGAGTGGGGAGCAGAACAGGCAGATGTATTGAAATGCACTGCTGAGGGGAGCAGTGGGCGAAACAGAAGTCTGTCACGCCACATGGGTCACTCCCTGGCTGGGGCTTGAACAGCTTCATGCTGCAGTGGCTGTGGACAGCTTCATAGTGGTGCACTCTAACCTGTTGCGCCACCTCAGAGGGCTCACAAGTGATCACATTTTTGGTGTGAGTAGTTACCTGACTTGGTTAAGATGGTAATTCACAATGGTAGGATTAGAACTGTAAATCTACTTCTTTTTTCAGTTTCAATTTTATGGTGATATTCTATGCATATAAAGGGTGAGTTGAAGTCAGCTGAGTTTCCCCTCATTTTATATGAAGATGTGGTCAAAAGATCAAACTACATCTTTAGCTGCAAAGTGTAAACTAGCAAACCTACTTGGATTATTCTTCTCATATATGCGAGGGAGGCAATTTCTGGCATTGGTTCAGCTACCAGTCTTTACCATTCTCATTCTCTTTTTTCCAATAAAATTTTTTCCTGAACCTTATGAAAATCGTTGCATTCCTCACATCCCTTGACCCCAAAGTACTTCAGTATTTATTTCTTCAAACTAGGACATTTTCTTAAATCCCCCTAGCAGTGTGACAAACTGTAGCTTTAACATTGATCCAGAGTTAATTTACAGTTTGTGTTTCACTATCACCAGCTGTCCTCATGACAATTCAAAAGAGCACAGACTTTTAAGTCAGCCACTCCAATGAGCAGAAAAAGCACAGCATTCTTGTTCATTTTGGTTTTGGACAGAAAGTGGTTACCATTTTTAAAAGGTTCTCAACTTTAAAGAGGGTGGTGACATATAATCAGTAGTCCTACTGATTATATGAATATGTGTACAAAAGATGAAATTCAGAGTCAGAACCAAACACAGTATTCTGTGCTTTTTTAAATGTCGGCACCATTGTTTCTTCTGTCTACTTTTGGGCCTTCGCAAGATAAGTTGTTCCTGCCACCCTTCCATAAGTCACCCAGCTAGAGTTGAGTGTGAACAGAATACAGAAATGCATCTTTGGCCTTTTTTTAGCCTCAAAGTTCACTCATCAGGAAAAACAGTACTAGTAACTACATCTCTCTGCTATTCTGTATAAGCTCTGTGTGGAAAACCTATCCTCAATACCATGCCCCTGTTCATCCACTCACTTCCTACTTGTCTTTCAAGTTGTGGTGCAGGCCACTTCCTCCAGGAAGCCTTCCTTGACTACCTGCCCTAGGTAACCCTACCTGCACCTCCTATAGAACACTGCCATTTTTCATCACACATCACTTTATACTAAAACAACACATTTATTTGCCCATTTCCCTCTAGATGATTATCTCTGAAAATGTAGTGGTGGTGTCTTATTTTTCATTTCCCCAGCTCATAACATAATGCTGTACACATAGCAATGTGTGATGAACTGATCAGATCGATAGCCCTTCTTTGAGAAGGAACAGATAGTAAGGTAAACTAGCTTGTTTGTTATGATTGATTAATCAATTTTTAAAGATTTATTTATGCATACAAGAGCTGTGGTGCAGGCCAGAGGTGGGGTGAGAGGATTCACCAGACTAGGGAGTGAGGAGCAGAACAGATTGACCTACTGAAATACATTGCTGAGGGGAACAGAAGGCAGATAGGAGAGGGTCAGCTTCCTTGGCCGGAGATAGATGGAACTAGTGTTCCAGTGGCAGCAGATAGCTTCACAGTGCTGCTACTTAACCCTTTGCACCCCCAGGGAGGTCCCAACATCATTATTTAATACATTTAATTAATTGAAGTCCAGAGTCTTTAAAAAATATGTTCAGTTTTCGGACCACCTTAAGGATATGTGATGATTAAAATCAACATGTTTGAACTTCGATTTATCATCTTCCAGAAAAGTGTAAGTATGATTTCAAGTTTATTGGCTGGGATGCAGTATAATCTTACACATAGGACTGGTTTTATTTATTTTTTTAAAAGATTTATTTATTTGTGCATACAGAACTGGGGTACAGGCCAGAGGCTCAGGGGCGGCGAGAGGCTTCACCAGAGACAGAGTGGGGAACAGAACAGGCAGATCGACGAAGTACACTGCTGAGGGGAGCAGCGGGTGGGTCAGGAGAGGTCTGCCACGCCATGTGGTCACCTCTGGGGCAGGCGGGGATCGAACTAATGCGGAGGCGGCTTTAGATTCTCAGTGCTGTGCTTTAACCTGCTGCGCCACCAGGGAGGGCCTCACATAGGACTGGTTTTAAATGAAAGTATGTTGGATGGATGTCTCCTAGTTCAGAACATCTTATTCATGATTCTGTTAAGCAAGGTAGTGGAATATTTTGAAACAAATTTCCCCATAAATGGGATAATAGACAGTTCACAAGAATTTCATCAGCACACTAAAACCTAATGATTACTTGTGCTGTGAGTGGGTAGAAAACAGATACGATATTTTAAAAAGTTGCTAATAAACAAACTCCCCTACTTTACAGATATATTAACTCTTTACTGAGTGACTGCAAGTGCTCGGCTCTGCCCCAGCAACCTCTTCTCTATGCACTCACAGACGAAATTTAACACTTTTGCAAACGCAAGTGAGGGCCCTCTTTTAATCCATCTGCTGATTCTGTGATAACTGCAGGGAAGTTGTTTTATTTCCATCAGTTCTGGTGCCATAGTAACTAAAATCACACTTCTCTGGAGATTGACTTAGTGCAATGTGCACCCTAAAAACATGGTCCAGTGATGTTTGCAAATGTTATTTTCTGAAGCTGAATTCCTAGAACCACCACCAATGTGCTTTCTTCTCTTGGCTCCGTTTCCATTTGTCACTATATTTTGTCAAGGAAGAATTTATATGGGGAATATTGATTTTAAAAGAAAGGAGTCAGAGGGCCCTCCCTGGTGGCGCAACGGGTTAGGACACAGCACTACAAGCTAGCCACAGCCGCTTCAGTAAGAGTATGATCCTTGGCCTC